CAGACAATCTAAATAAACACCCCAAATCTTTGAAGCGAACATAAATAATTATCATATCTGAAATAAAATCATGATCATGTTTCAGGGCTATTGAAACGATGTTCACATTCAACATATTACAGTATTCCTGATAATGTTATATGGATATACCTATATATGCGAAAAAGTTACTTCAGACAACCTCGGAACTGGCCTAGTGCTAAGAAAAGCAATGATGGGAATGTTAGTGATAGTTTTGATATTGTAAAGACAGATTTATTTATTAAATTGTATTTGAAAATCTGTAACATATATTTATAACACTTCCTATTCATATTTATGAGTTCAGAGAACGTTCGACATGTAAGATCTGAAACTTTTGAGAGAAGGATAACATTTCTAGAATTTGGTTTGGAATAAGTTAAAAGTTCCTCAATACAGACTTCACGCGTAGGAAGAAAGTTATCACAGTCGAAGTATATTTCGAGTAATGTGAATTAGTTCAATGTATGTGTGTTCTTCTCTTCTTTGGACATAGTAGTCGGATAAGTACAGTAGCTGCAATAACACCGACCCTGTCTTTATCTTCAAGTTAACCGAATTGTTCCTGTTTACTTCCTAGACCGATAACGTGTAGTTCTGATACTAAGAGTGCAGTTTGTTTATTGGATGATGGCTTCGTGACATCAACGTGGATTTTAAACACCAGATTTGTTTTCTTTGAATGTTCATATCATGAAAAATATTATTAATGTGATTTGTTTATTTTTATTTTTGCTAGTAGAAATGAAACCAAAAATCTCGTTATCGATACTAAAAATAAACTATTAAGTAGCACTGATATGATAACAGTTATATAAAAGAGGAGTAGTCTAAAAAGTAAAGGAAATGGCTTCTTAATAAATTTTATTGATTGTGTTATCGATTTGAATGACGATTAGCGATGTTTGTAAATGAAACGTAAATACATTTTTAAAACAAATATACCACAGAGAATGCGTTTTCTGAATTGGTATTTTGGTTCTCATAATTGTCGAGTACTTGTCACAACCAATAATCCAGTTGCAGAATCTAGGTTTTTATGCACGTGGGTCCAGGTCCAGACCTGATCCTGAATAAAAAGTCCCTGTGTGGGGTTTTCTCTTCTTTGATATGTCAAATGGAAACAATGTATCTTCGAACTGCTCTTCATCAAAAATTCTCAATTCTCGTATATTCCCGGTACAACTACAAATGGCAACATTTTCTTCTGCAGTGTCATATCCGCAATGTACATCTGATATACATTAAATACATTGATTCAAGTTTTTTTCTTTAACAGACGGCATTGCGAACTTGTTTCTTACATTCTCATACAAAGACGCCTCTTCACTTGTATCGCTCGACGAGTGAGTCGGTCGTTTCCTGAGTTTCTTTCCTTTAAATTTATCATGATGTTTTTTAATATAGCTTTGGCTCGTTGACTTATTCCATTCCCTTCAGGCTTCTTTCAAAGCTACAAGATTAAAAACTACGGTTTCATGTAATATCCTAGAATTTAACAATTATATAATTATATTTTTCGAATTTGTGGCCCTACTCTCGCAGCACGAAATCCGTAGTTACGGCCGTTTTCCTACTACAGATGACCTACAGACTACAGATTCGATCGGGGCTACAATTAAGAATGTATGACAACACGATTTGACAGTTTCGAATGGACCCGTCTTTTCGTCGACGGACCCCGAGAGTAGTACCATAGGTTATCCATAGGGTAAACGGCCGTAACAACGGATTTAATGCTTCGAGAGTAGGGATATTTGTTTTTTTCTAACTAACCAACGTTTCGAGCCCTTTACAGGTCCATGGTAACCGGCTGACCGAGATGGTAAAATCATCAATAAAAGAAGAGCATATATATTTCAATTTACCTTAAAGTAGGTTGTAACTATACGACGTATCCCAGGTGATCAAAATTAGGTAAGGATCTCATTAAAAGCATGCCAGAAATTTTCCAACGCCTTTTGGGAATGCAATCAGAGATTGATTATGGTCGTATAGGTAAAGCAGTGACGAAGGGTGGATATTTGATGAATGTTAGTACTGTCGTACTAAGTGTATGTTTTTCAATATCTACTGCTAAGTTGGGAGAACAAATTTCTTAGGTTGCAGATGATGTGGATCGTGTCGTTTGTACACTTTGCCATTGTAAATAAATAACGATAGATTGGCACACAAAATAATTAGGTTATTGCGCTCCACTGGGCAGATATTTTCACCCTGCTGCTCGCACATTATAGGGACTGATTTATTCTAATATTTCGCCTGGTCCTGTTTTCAATGAAATTTTTCGCTCTTTGGGTGTTCGTATAATCTTTCTTTGGGTATATCAATCAATAGGTACTGGAATTTTAGATTTCTCTGACGAAAGTAGTTTACTTCAAACTGACTTTCATTACGAGTTTGCCATGTGTTAAAAATATTTTCGGTTATGCGTATCGTTCGTTGTGTCTTGATTACATAGACTACGCAAACGTACCAGGACTCGATGAAATGGATTTGGATCAAGGGGTCGATTTGAAATGAAATGAATTTGAAGGCATGTAAACTGAAAAAGACAGATCCTAGCCGCTAGACATATAGCGATTACGAAAATCTGCAAGATGAAGGTGTAGCTCTACGTGTCACCTCCAACTGCAATCAAGCGTTCGTAGAAACGAGGTCGTCGCCCGCTGCATTGCAGTTCTTTGCATACGTGTTGCTATGGCAATCATGACTTGGATTCAGTTAGAGTTTGTAGCTTTAACGAAGGCAACGTTCTCGTATTCACTGGGGATACTATTGTGTACATTCAAAAGGGTCACAGTGGTCAAAGCGGGCCTGAGAAGACCTTCTCTAGCATGTTGCTTGCTTATAAGTTATCCTACTAAAATCGTAAATGAGAAATTCGGTGGCCTAGCAGTCGATAATCTGGATTAGGCAATAGATAGGCTATGATGGTTATTGAATATACTTTGAATAAAGCAGTGAAAATTACAACAGAACAGTTTTTACGTTTCATATCGGATTCAATGTACATGACTTCACTAAGATACTCACACGTATCGTGTACACAACCAATAATAACTCCGCATAAAATTATTACGTACGCAGTAAACGATCTCAAATACGGTGAAAACATGATAAAGCGATAAATATTCATAACTTATCATTGTCACCGAAGTGTTAATAATTGCTATAGTTCGATTTCTTGACTTTTGAATTAGTGCTAATTTGGTATAGTAATATAAATTTTGTGGTGTAACCTTGCGTTTAGTTATCATATCACTTTAGTAAGTAATATGACTAGTTAGTTGCTATCAATTCAATATTTTTACATAAAACACATGGAGACAGAACTAATCGATTTTATTTCTTCCAAAAATACCAACTAATTGTGCTCAATTTGTATACACGTTGAAAAAGAAGATTAACGTGTTTACAAATACGGTACCTGGATCATTCCTGTTTTCAATATTGACTTTTTTAAAAGAGTAAAGAGATCGCAACACCGGTAACCAAACACCTGCCCGCAAACGTCGACACCACACACACACACACACACTCGCGCGCGCGCGCGCGCGCGCGCACACACACACCCCGACACACACATCCCCCGACACACACATCCCCCCCACACACACCCCGACACACACACACACACACCCACACCCACACCCACACACACACACACACACACACACACACACACACACACACACACAC